TGATCTTAAATTCGCTTCCTCTGACCAACCAAAAGGCAGGTGATATCATATCAGTGTTAACTGATGGGTCATTTGTTGCTCCATTGGCAGCGTGTTGGTCATACCACCACCTACCATCGTCACGCATCCAATTCTTGCCATCGCTGTTTGAGAATCGAGCGAGGAGAGTCCATCCTTTAAGACTTGCCGTGATATCACAATAGACCTAAAAGTACATTGCAAATAGATTACAACCAAAAGCAGGGCATTCATTATTTTGGATATAAGTTGGTGAGGATTTGATAGCATCCCTTGATAGATATGAAGTACTTTAACAGCTTTAAAACCATACGATAAAGAATCAGAAGAGTCACAGGGAGGCTTGGGATCTAGTCGTAACTCTCACTGGGAAGGAAGGGTGATAGGAGTGGTGAGAGTGAACGTGAAAAAGCACATCTTCATATCAGGAAAGGTTTTTCTCTTACTAAGAGTCTCTCTTCAATTCAAATATGTAATTTTTAAATTGCCATCTCGACTGTATTTTTGACTGGAAGCTGTACATAGGCGCGACCCATTGAAAAATACGTGCTTCCTCGCTGGTAGTCCCACGAAATGTTCTCGACGGAAAATATTTTATAATCTATGGAGTCTTTAAGTCGTGTGACTATTGAAGCTTTTCTATTGGAGTTTCGACTGTCAGTAAGGCTGAAAGAAAAGTCGAACTACACTTAACACTTTGCTTCGCAAAAAAAAACCTCCCGTCCTGAGAGGAAAACAAAAAAAAAGAGCACAAACAGAAAAAATCAAAAACTGTGAAAAGAAAAAAATCAAAACAAAACAAAACAAAAGCAAACAAATAAACAAACAAAAAGACAAACCAAGAAAAGAAAAAGCAACAAAAATTGTTTTATCTAGGAGTTAGTCTCTAAAGCAACGATTCATATTTATTCTGGAAGAGAAATGAGGAGTCTACACTTACATTATATCGAAAATTGCCCGTTAAAAGCTCGAAGCTTCCGGGACATTGTTTCCCCATATTTTTCTTTAAGACGTCTTCACAAGAATTAACTGGAAATTGATGAAAAACAGATATGAATACTGCATAAAAATGAAGGAAATAGTTACGAATGGTATTGTTGTGGTTCTCAGTCTAGAACAAAAGGCGTAAGAACACAAGAACAAGACAGCACGCACAACAGAACTAAACTAAGGAAAAACCTAAATCACACCAACAGTGGATAATTATTGGATGCCCATTTTTGTATACTGTGGCCTGGGTACAAGTAATGAGATAACCGCTAGCCGGAATCTAGCTAATATCGAGACACATGGTTTCAACTTAGTATTTTTCACATTTCGACGATTTAGACGAAGATACTGGCTACTTTCTCATGGGATAGGCCAGGAGCTACAGCATGTGGTTTGTTCGTTTGTTTGTTTGTTTACTGGTGCTATTGACCCACTTATTTATCATAAGTATTACTTAGAGTCTCGAGGGCAAGATATCGTCACAAACTTGTCCCCGGTCAGTTTTAACGCCGCACTTATAAATCTTTGATTTTTCAAAAGAATGCTTCGAGATGCTTAGCCATGCGATAGTTTTTTCTATGTTTGAAATTCTGGACGGTTGAGATCAATTTAAGTGGGCTACTGGTGTTACTGTCATGACAGAATTGGTCTCTAAGACTAGAATGAAATTAGTGTATGGTAGCTGGAATAATAGCAAATCATATTATTGATCAAAAGGCACCTTCTTTTTCTTTGACAACTACTGACGTTGTCGTTTCTGCCAGTCCGATGCGATTTCTTGCGCGGCAGACATATTTCCCGTGACTGTTGAACTCAACAGTGTTGAATTTGAGGCAGCCTCGTTCCTGGAAAGCCAATGATGTATCAGCGGAGTGCACGTTACCAGCACGTGACCACTCCACTTTGGGAGGCGGAGAGCCCACAGCGTCACAACAGAGATTTAAAACGGAGCCTTCATCTACGATGACCAAAGATGGTAGTTTCTTGACAAATGTTGGTGGCTCTGAAGGTAGAATAAAATCGAATAAAAAACGTACATGTAATAAACAACATCATGTGATCAATAGAAACTGTCAGCAACGTACAGCTACATTTGGTCATATTGGAGAACATTTTTAGTGTTGAAAATAGCAAGAACATACAACTGAAACTTCTCATACTTTTTTTTAACATTATCAAGTGGACATAAATTCCCCCAACGTAATAGGCATTAAAGGAGCTAAATTGCTATTTAAACACGCTCAATGTCGCCGGCTCACTGTGGAAAGACAAAAATGTGTATTTCATTGACAAGTGACTGTCTACACTGGTGTTAGAGATACACATCATAAAAAAACAGAAAAATTAGGGGCTGATATTCATACCTTTTACTTGTAAAGTGCTGAAACCCCTTAGACTTTCGAGACCAGTGTTAGCTGAACACATATACGACCCCACATGTGACCTTTGTACGCTGTTGATTCGAAGAGAACCATTTTCCACGGTAGCATCAGATACAGTACCTCCAAGCTTACGCCATGTTATTTTGGAAGACGTGTGGCCTTGAACCCAACAGAAGAATATTGCTGTCTCGTTGATAAAGACTTCCTGAGATACTGGATACACACTGATCTTCGGTGGAACAGCACATTCTCCCTTGGGTCCCTGAATACCAACCAATCCTCTGATGCCTTTGTTCCCTTTTAAACCAAGAGATCCTTTTTGTCCTTGACGACCCTTCGTTCCAGTCTCTCCTCTAATTCCAGGAGCTCCAACGGACCCTTTGTCCCCTTTTTCACCATTTACTCCTGGAGGTCCAACATGTCCCCTTTTGCCACCCACGCCTGGAGTCCCAATAGGCCCCGATGGGCCTGGTGGTCCTTCCTTTCCAGAGGCCCCTTTTTCTCCCTTATATCCGGGATACCCAAGGGCTCCTGGCGGTCCCGGGGGTCCT